TTTTTTTTTCATCTAAATTGTAGTCCCCCTGGGTTTCCCATCAAGTCATCCATGTGCCATGTGCCATCACCGTAGTCCAACGCACTCCCCTCCCCCCACTGTTAGAAAGTTGGATCTTTATCACATCTGTTGTAAAACATTTCGAAGCATTTACCTAGGTCAAGCATAAGTACCCCTTTTCACCTCTCCCTGGAAGGAGCAATATTTTTCTTCGGGATCATCTCAAAGTCACACTCAGATCAAACCTGCACCTGCACTCTGGAACCCTTCCATATCAAGAACATATGAATAAGAAGAATCCAGATAACTGAGTGAACTCTGAGGTGCCTCAGACAGGAAACTTCACTCAAACCACCAACCTGGTAGACTGTATCATTGCTCACAGATACTCAGTACTGCTCCCTCCGTGAGACTTTATCCCTACCCTGTGTACTTGAACATGGCCCTGTTACTGGTGTGGGCCAGTGACAGGTGAGTGATGGGTCTGTGGCACAGCAGCAGCTTTGAAAACTGGCATGTGTTGTTTCTCCGGACGCAGAGCATCCAGCCCTCAGGGAAGCCAGAGTGACCAGGATAAGTGAACTCCCAGACACTTCCCAAAGGACATGTAGCATATATGGGAAGAAATGCTTTTTGCTTTAAGTCGTAGAAATTTGGGGATGTTTTCTATCACCGCCTTCCTGAAAAATACACTCATCCTCTTACAAGTTTCCCTCCAAAATGGCTGTTATAAGGAACTGCAGTCCTAAAGAGAATGTTCAGTTTTGCATTTAAAACGTTATTGGTTGCTGTGTGGCCTGAGTGGGCATCAGCAAAGGGGTTTGGAGGGTTGTGTTCTCACTGGACTGAAGTCCCCTGGAAAGGGGAAAAAGTGCTGTGAGTGTGGGTTGCAGTCATCACTCTTAACAGCTCATTAACTTCTCTGTGCCTCTTCCTTTCCAGGCATTCAGGAAAAGAAGCCCTGCTTTCCACCCCACCCCAGCAAACTTCCAGATCATGGTGAAAGCAAAAGGAGATTAAGTCCTACAGGGCCTCCAGTCATTCATCCATTCCATCAGAGTGGTGAGTAAAAATGTCTTCATACATATGGTGCTTTTCATCCTTACGAGGCAAAGAGTAAGCACACAACCCCACAAATGACTGTTGTGTTGGTTGATGTAATGAAGTCAGGGAACCCAAAGATACCTGTTCTGGTTGAGGGCTGAGGGAGGGCTTCTTTAGGAAGTGCATTTAAGCAGAGACCTGACTGATGACTGAGTGTTAAGCCAGCTAAAGAGTGGGGTGAAAGCTCCCATAGAAAATAGCAGCAGATGAGGATGGAGGACTCACAAATGGAAACAGAACCAGCATTTGGCAACTGCTCTGGAGGTGACCGATTGCAGGTAGGAATTGTCAATGACTACGAGGGTTAGTTGGTGGGGGTGATTGGCATGATATTGAAATACCTCCCCCCCCCGCCCCAATACTGATCAGTTATAAATGGGAACATGGTGGCTGTAGGAGAAAGAAACCTGGCAGAAACAAAAGGGAGTCTGAAATGACTGTATGCCTGGGTGGGCCCTTTGACCAACCAGAAAGGAAAAACTGGCCTTGTTGAGACAGCTGACCTTAACTATCCCTAATCTGAACAGAATATGTGAATTGTTCAATGGTGATGCTGGTGTGTTGATTTCTTGGTTTGGAGGTTTGCAGGGTAGTGCCCTGGTTTGAGGTGGTGATTTATAATAAAGTAGATATATTTGGTCTTCATCCCCCTTTCTGGCCCAGAGCTCCTGAAAACCCTTGGAATTTCCTAAGTGATAAAAGTGATAAAGGTGGCTTGTTCTTAACAAGCTCCTTTCAACCACACCAGAATTTGTGCTAATGAGGTGGCTTTTGGAAAGCCCCTAAGGATGGAGGCTGGTTGCCAGGAGAAACAATCTTGTGATTAGAGAGTTGGTGCTTTCAGCCCCTCCCACCACCTTTGGGGAAGAGAAAGGGACTGGAAATTGGCCCTTCACCAAGGACCTCTGATTCAATCTCAATGAAACCTCCACGTAACCCCAAAAGAAGGAGTGAGCCAGAATATGCCAGGAGGGTGGCAGATCCCAGACTTGACAGCTCCCCTGACTCAGGACCCTCTAGAACTCACTGTGTACCTCTTCATGAGGCTGTCCTTACTAGTAGGTAAACTGGTTTCCTGAGTTCTCTGAGTAGCTACCGCAAATTAACAAAACTCGAGGCAGGACCCTCCGATTTAATGCCAGTCAGTCAGAAGCACAGCTGACAACCTGGACTCTCATCCACAGTAGGACCGAACCCCTAACTTGTGGCTTCTGATGTGACCTCTGGACAGTGTCAGAACTGAACAAAATTGTAGCATATCCAGTCTTTGTCTACTGAGAGCTGGAGACTTGGTGGTAGTCCTGGAGGAAGTACACAGCACATCTTGTTCAGGAAAAATGCATACCAGAGTGCTTGGGGTGATGGCATATGATGTCTAGAGATTCAGAAAATGACAACAAGTGCTAATTAGTACTTAAGTATTCCGTGCAGGCAAAGATGAGAATGTAATGAAATAGGGAGAATAAGAGAATGTGGTAATGGGGGAGGTGTGGAGATCTTTATTGTCCTGGCCATTTCAGTGTAAGATTGATATAACTCTAAGACAGCTCTTTCAAAGACAGACTTGACACTTTAGATGCAGAGCATCTGAGGTAGCTCATCGGCCAACGTGACCGGGACAGCTGGACGCCTCTTGTAGGGTGGCTTTGTAGCCTCTCCTGTCAGGAAGTGCAGTCCATGTTCCTTCTCCTTGACACTGCACCTGTGTCATGGCTGACTTTGACCAGAAAAATGTAGACACTGTGTGACCCTTGAGTCTTATCCTCCGAAGAACTGACATGTTCACCCTCTTGCTGCTCTGAATGACCACAGAAAGAAACCCAACTTCTCCTTGAGGAAGAAGGACCACATGGAGAGAGGCCATCATGGGCCACCCTCCAATTCTGGTCTGCAACTGCAGAATTGAGCCCAAGGGTGGACCAGCAGGTGAGCCCCCAGTCAGTCTCATAGTCTCAACTGTGAAAAATGATAAATCTTTGTTAGTGCAGTTTGGAGTGGCTAATAATGCCACATTAAAAAACAATTTCTGGGCCCTCTCTGGTGGCTCAACAGGTTAAGTGCAGCACTATGATGCTCTCCACAGCCACTGCAGCATGAGTTGGACCCTCGGCCAGAGACTGACCCACATGGCGTGGCAGACCTCTCCTGTCTCCCAGCTGCTCCCCTCAGCAGAGTATTTCAGTCAATCTGCCTGCCCTGCTCTCCATTCTGTCTCTAGTGAACCCCCTTCTCCCCCAAACCTGTGGCCTATACCCCAGTTCTTGTATGCATAAATAAATACATCTTTAAAAAAAGAAAACTATTTCCATCAGTATACCTAAGGATGTAATCAACATCACCTGACTGGTTGAATCGATTTTTCCCCACAGACGGAATAGACTCCTGTTTCTCTAGTCTGAATTCTTAGAGAACTGCTTTGCACTGGGTTGACAGTGTAGGCAGCCTTCTACTTCAGAGAACTTCTACTTATGTAGCTTCATTTCACCTTTATCACCCCCTCCAGGAGGGGGGATAGGAGTTACTATCTTTTATTATACAAATGAGGAATCAGGTTCAGAGAGGTCAAGTTACTTTCCCAGGAAACACAGCCAGTAAGTGCCAAAGTCAGGACTGATGCAGTGAAACCTTGGGTCTAGAATCCCATCTGCTCTCCCTTCAAGATGTCCAGCTAGTTACCCCAGGTGTTCTCGTGTACTCAATCACCTTGGTCTGCGGGAATAGAATGTGACTAGATAGGGGTCTCCTAAGCAAACACACTTTATCCTATTTGTCCTTGTTTCTTCAAACATGGATATTGAATGGTGACTGTAGTCTCATGTGGTGGAGGGTGCTTGACATCAGTCTGCACGCATGCTGTCAGGGCAGAAAGTGCCCTCGCTTGGAATCTCACAGGGCTACTTCAGACCAGCCAACGAGGAGAGGCATGGATAGGAAATAAGGGTGAAAGGCAATCGAATTACAGATCTTCTCACTGTGTTGTTCTTACCCATTCTCACCACCTGAAATATGTATGTTTATGTGTTTACTAACTCCTGTTCTCTCCCTAAAACTAACCTCCCTGTGGGCAGTCAGCAAATACTTGCTGCTGACGAATGGATGGTGAGCAGACCCGTATGAAGAATCCCTTAATCTCTCTAAGTTTGACTCTCCCCATCTTTAAATGCAAGCGATAGCACATACCCCCGCCAATGGTTGTAAAGATCAGGTAAGAATAAGACACATTTGACTGGCTGCCTTCTAAAAGGCCCTTGGACAGTCATTGCTGGTGGGGAGTTTCTGTCAGTTTAGGATTTTAAAGAGAGGACAGACAGGCTTCTGCCCTGCTTGGTTTTACCTTTCATTTCACTAAAGCCTCTGGGGTTGAATCAGGTCAATTCCTACGTCCCTTTCTGGCCCCGTGACTCGGAGATCAGATCCCTTCTTCAGACATGTCTCTACTGTCAGGGAAGTGAGAAACGTCTTCAGGAGTGGCCCCCTTAAGGCTTGCTCTGTTGGCAAAAACCAGTTTGGAGAGTTTGATCATCTGGAGGCGCTTCCTCTGCAGCATCTGCGGTTTCGTGCTGTCCATGCTTAATGACAGTGAGTAACCGACATGAAAAGGCCGCTGACAGGTTTTCACCAGAGGACGCAGCTAAATAGCAACGAAAGGATTAAAAACCCATCTCACCACCCAGAGAGCCTGGGAGTAACACACACATGCAACTCAGAGATAATAATCAAAGAGCTGGAAAGAGTTCTATGGTTTCATGGACCAATACAGAAAACAAAAAGCAACGTCAGGCCCTATCCCCTCTGCAGACAGCCTGTCCTCCCGACACGCAGATGAAAGAGGCGGCCATGGCCAATACAGAAGGGTCAAAAGAGCCTGCTCAGGGAAAGAGCCTACCTTTTTGGAGGTGACTCCGCAGAGGACTCCCCCGTCCACATTTCCATCTCAGCTCTCACTCCTGGGGCGCCTGTGGGATTGCAGTCCACTTTTGGAGATGATGACAACTGTGGCAGTTTTGAGGAGAGCCTCTAGTCTAGACAGGATGGCCTGGGCATGTGTGAAATGCGCCTCTGAAACCCCGATGGCCCGGTGATCGCTGCTGATGTGCCTTCATCCCGTAACGCTGTCCCGGCCTGTGGAACTTTGCTTTCAAATTCAGTTTCAGGCTTAGAGCACCCAGAGTCAGGAGTCTGAGCGCTAAGTATGTAGGTCTGGGGTCTCTGTCCCAGTGATCAAGAGCCATGAGACCAAGGGAGCAGCCCCATCCTTGCAGACACGGTGACGGAGAGGCGTCCAATTCTTCTCTCTTCCAAACGCTGTTCTTTTCCGCTAGGTCATTGTCTTCTCCCTCTACCTCCAGAAATTCCACCAAAGGAAGGAAATTAGATATTGTTTTCTTCTTTCTCCCCAGCCTTCCATCCACTGCATTTACTCTGTGCTGGCTGCTTTACAAGAATATTCATAAGGAGAATATATTTTTAAGCCCCAGAAGAAAGAAAATTCATAAACTACTTGAGCAGCCATTACTTGCTGCTAGACTCTTGGGCATGTCTTGTGTCTATTGTTACAAATATTGGTCAACAGTCAAGGTTTGCCTTTAGTCCTGAAACTATAAAATAGGAAATAAATACAAATAGCATTTAAGTTTTAGGTCATGACAGAGAAGTTGGTGCCACTGTTTAAACAAGTCATTAAAAACAATTAACTTGATACATTTGGAACCATTTCACAGCCACCACCTATAAATGGCAGCCCCTATTTCAGCTGTTCATGACCTAACACCCACCTCAGTCCTCTCCTGCCTTCAACCGGTGGCGGCTCAGCTTCCATCCCCTTCTCCGCCACTAGTTCTAGACCCTGGAAGCCTATCTCCTATGAGCCTCTGCCTCAGCGAGCATTGTTCTGCTGGTACGGCCTCAGGCCCAGCACTGTCTCTGCTCTGCCATCTTTCCCTCCCTGTGGTTCCCTT